GAAAATATATCAAGTATGTAAAATATTTCTTATCGTAACTTAATATAATGATCAAAGTTTTGCATGAAAGAAAAAAGACGTCCTATAAAAAATTAATCAAAGAGAGCTAATGAAATAATTTTTCTTTCGTATGTGTTTATACCCTAAATTTCTGCTCACATTTCAAATGATGTTCAAAACAGTTTGTATAACAAGTTACTACAACGTCTCGTCTTATCACCCTTCTAACCCACATTAGGCAGGAATAATACATGTCCAGTTATATTTCAGATCTTCACGGATAGATGGCGTTGATTCTAAAGTTTAACATGCGAATTTTCAGGAGTGTAAGAGACATGATGAAAATTGTAAGGAAAACCTCTGAAGAAAAGATGAAGAGGAAATGAAAGGGTACGATAAAAAATAGAAAGAACGAAAGGAAATAGGCTGACCGGGAAAAGAAAGAGGGAGAAGTAGAGGCGAAAGTTAGGAAAAGAGAGAAGTTAACAAACGCGAAAGATTTTGGCGCCGCCGTTGGAACCGTGCGCAGGCGTGGGAACGGACTGTGTTTCCTTCGCGACTTATCTTGAGGTCCGAGCGCCGCCCTAACTGTGGACCTGAACGTGGTCACGGTTCTGGCGGTGAAACTGGACGAAGAACAAAGTGGACAGATCTTGTTAAGATCCTATTAAGTTCTGATGTCTTTTTGCCATCACGTACTGTGGGGACGTTCGGAGCACCTTATTATGACGATACGTTTTAAAAAGTTGAATATCCGCTTCACTCAAACACGTATTTTTTTTTTATAAAAGAATATATATATACGTGTATATATGTATGTATGTGTATATATATGTGTGTGTGTGTGTGTGTGTGTGTGTGTGTGTGTGTGTGTGTGTGTGTGTGTGTGTGTGTGTGTGTGTGTGTGTGTGTGTGTGTGTGCGTGCGTGCGTGCGTGTGTGTGTGTGTGTGTGTGTGTGTGTGTGTGTGTGTGTGTGTGTGTGTGTGTGTGCGCGCGTGTGTGTATGTGTGTGTGTACTATATACATACATATATGTGTATATACAAATAAATTGTGTGTGTATATACAAATAAATTGTGTGTATATACAAATAAATTGTGTGTGTATATACATATACACATTGGTGTGTGTGTGTGTGTGTGTGTGTGTGTGTGTGTGTGTGTGTGTGTGTGTGTGTGTGTGTGTGTGTGTGTGTGTGTGTGTGTGTGTGTGTGTGTGCGTGTGCGTGTGCGTGTGCGTGTGTGTGTGTATGTATATATTTATATATATATATATATATATATATATATATATATATATATATATATATATATATATATATACATACAGAGAGAGAAAGAGAATCTGTCGACATGGGAGCTAACAGCAAGAAACCGAGATAGCAACAATAGCATCAAATGAAAGACAATAGATCCTGTCGTTTTCTCTCCTCGCAACCAAAGAAAAACGTTCAAAGGTAAGTAAAAAAAAATTTTTCCGCACATTTAAGAATACGCCCACAGAAAACGGAGAAAATTACGTTCCGATCAGAAAACGTTGGCTACTGAGCTTATTACGATCAATTTTTTCCTGATTTATGTCTTTCCTTTGCCAATTTTACTTTCTCCGTTATGTAAACGTCTTTCTTTTGTTGTTGTTTTGTTTTTTGTTTTTTGTTTTATGTTTAGATATAGAAATATTTGATATTCCGTTATATTCACGCAGAACGAAGTAGGAGAAATGAGAAAGGAGAAAAAAGGAAAACGAGTAATGACAGACACAAGGCTCGAGGTGATTCGCAGTAACAGACACCGCAGGGTTAATAGCTACTATCTCCCCCCCCCCTTACCCCTCTCAGTCGCCCCTTCCCCCCCTCACCCCCACCTACTTGTTATAATGTTCACTCTTGTCTACACTTTTTATGTACATTAGTATCAGTCATTAGTATCACAATAACCCTAAATCACCATCTTCTCCGTTAAGAAATGAAGGCTCATGTTCGAACAGAAAGTGAATACGCATTTAAGACATTATTAACTTTAGATCACCATTTTTCAGGTCAGAAAAAAAACACCAGTGACGTAATGGAAAGAGTAAATATAGATTAAGGCAGTTTTTTCTGCATTTTTCTCATGCTCTCTCATTTTTTTCTCTCATTCCCGGATATCCGAGGACCGCGTGGCCCACTAACACCTATGCCCCGCCTACAACCTTACGTTTGACCACGCCCACAAACTCCCACTAGCCGTTAAATGCTGTTTTTTTATTTTATTTAAATCATTCACTACCGCTTAAATTCGAAAAATATGAACTCAAAAAACAAAACAAAAAAAGGCGTAATATATACCCGTACATAAATAAACACGTAAGCTATGAACCATTGAGTACACACAAGAATTCACTCGCGAAATAGTTGTGGTTTTCTGTCAAGTGCAAATATCAGCTATCCGTATATAATGTTCGCTTAGAGGAAGTGGAAAACGAAAATTCATTGAAATAAACTGATGATTGTTTAAAGTC